TAAAAAGTTTGAATTATCAACCAATCTGGTAACGAATGATGTGGGCACTTCCTAAGAAGATCTTTAAATCTCCCCTAAGCTTCATATATCGACTCTCCATCAATCTGACAAAATGATGTTATATCATTTCTAAGTTTAACAGTTTTGGATGGAGGGAAATATTTGGATAGAAATTTCTGTGAAAGTTCTCCCCAAGTTCAAATAAATCCAGGTGCTAACAAATATAACCACATCTTAGCCTTATCCCTAATTGAAAAAGGAAAAATTCTACGTCTAGCAGGATCGTTCAAAACTCTGTCATATTTAAAGGTAGCACAAAGTTCTAAAAAACTAGCGAGTTGTAAATTAAGATCTTCATTTGGTGTACCTCCAAATTGATTATTTTGTACATTTGAATAATAGCATGTTTGAGTTCAAATGAATTAGCAGCTACATCAGGATTTTGGATAGATAAGTGATTTTGGATAGATAAGTGGGATAGATAAGTGAATTTCATCTGCTTTAAGATTTGCATAATCTCGTAGAGGTATAGGTTGATGTTCATTTTCTATTCCTTAATTTTTTACATTATTTTTCATTGTGTCAGAATTTCTAGATTCTTTTCATTGTTTTATAATTCTCTTAACAGTGCGTTCTAACTCCGAGTCGTAGGGTATAAGATTTTCAAGTCCAAATTTATGCATACAATTGAAATATTACACAGAAAAATAGTTAACTAAATATGAAAATAAGTTGTTATTCAAAGAAAAGTTTTATAATAGTCCTAATTAGTCCGTTAGCAACTATACAAAAACTTAATAACTGTTATAGATTTGATAAAGGTTTATGTATAAAATATTCAATAATTGTAAATTCACTCTTATCAATGCAAGTATACGTATCGCTCAAGTAATATAAGGCTCTAATGGAGTCCAAGATATCGATCCCACAGGGAGTGATTTAGAACTGCGAACTAAGATTTTAGAAAAGCAATACTTTAATCGCAACAACGAAGTTCAATTTGCTTATCTGTCACTAATAGGCAACTGAAAAAAAATATAATTTTAATAACTAATAATCAACTAATGATACTAATGAGGGTTTAAATGTGATATTCAATATATAAGAAATCATCATTCTCCTTGTCAAGAAATTATAGTGAATGGATAAATTGAATCAGTTCAAATTGTATTGTCTCAAATAGGAGCATCCTTATTATTTACCCTTTGGAGCAGGCATAATGAACATTGACTAATCCTATGCTTGGTTACTGAATCTGCGGCTAGGCTGGGAGGACATCAGCTCTCACTTTGGAGCTCCCACGTTCCCCTTTCCTGAGGGCTAACATCTACACTTCAACACCCAAACGATAGGACCGAATTATGGATTTTAGTCTGTCACTCTAAAATCTCTAATTCTACATCCGAAAATTTTTTA